TAACCCACAAAAAGAAAACCAAAAAAAATGCAAAAAAGGGGGAAAAAACACCAAAGCACACACACCACCACTGCCACCAAAAAACAAGGTAGCAGCCTTCTCAAACTGTCTCAGAAGTGTACTGTTATTTTTTCCCTTTTCTTTCTGATGTTTTACCCTTCAAAAGAGTGCTGTAATGGCTGAGCTAGTTTTCATCATTTGCTTGCTTGCTTGGCCAAATCTGTTTTATTGCAAAATTCTTATGTCAAGGTTTATCCTTTTTGTATTTAGAAGCTTATTTCCGTGCTTAGTTTAGTACATCTCCTTTATAGTTCTATATATTTTTATGCACAAACGATGGACCTGCTTTCATGGTACTACTACCAAAGGATTGCTTCTGGAATTTTATATTTATGGTACAATTGCGGTTGCTTCTTGAACTTTGTGTGATTGCTAAAAATAAGAATCGGAGGTACTTAAAACTAAAAGTCTATATGTAATATCTATTGCTGATGCTTACATGTCTGAAGATCATTCTACACAATTATTGCATGGATAATAAATATACGTTTGCCTTGTCTTGTTCATTTCATTTTTTAGAGATATGATACCAATCTTTGTATGAGAGCGTTTTGTGTATGTTTATTCATTAGTCTCCTTGTAACGAGGTAACTAACCTCGCCTTGGTTCTGCTACAGATGCAGATCTTTGTGAAGACACTTACAGGAAAGACTATCACCCTTGAGGTGGAGAGCTCAGACACTATTGACAATGTCAAAGCCAAGATCCAGGACAAGGAGGGCATCCCCCCAGACCAGCAGAGGCTCATTTTCGCAGGAAAGCAACTCGAGGATGGCCGTACTCTCGCTGACTACAACATCCAGAAGGAGTCCACCCTCCACCTTGTGCTCCGTCTCAGGGGTGGCATGCAGATTTTTGTCAAGACCTTGACAGGAAAAACCATCACCCTTGAGGTCGAGAGCTCCGACACAATCGACAATGTCAAGGCCAAAATCCAGGACAAGGAGGGCATCCCCCCGGACCAGCAGAGGCTCATTTTTGCTGGGAAGCAGCTTGAGGATGGCCGTACCCTTGCTGACTATAACATCCAAAAGGAGTCGACCCTCCATCTTGTCCTTCGTCTAAGAGGTGGCATGCAGATTTTTGTCAAGACCTTGACCGGCAAAACCATCACGCTTGAGGTTGAGAGCTCTGACACAATCGACAATGTCAAGGCCAAAATCCAGGACAAGGAGGGCATTCCCCCAGACCAGCAGAGGCTTATTTTTGCCGGGAAGCAGCTTGAGGATGGTCGTACTCTCGCCGACTACAACATCCAAAAGGAGTCCACCCTCCATCTTGTGCTAAGGCTCCGTGGAGGCATGCAGATCTTCGTTAAGACACTGACTGGCAAAACCATCACCCTTGAGGTCGAGAGCTCTGACACAATCGACAATGTCAAAGCCAAAATTCAGGACAAAGAGGGTATCCCCCCAGACCAGCAGAGGCTCATTTTTGCGGGGAAGCAGCTTGAGGACGGCCGCACCCTAGCAGATTACAACATCCAAAAGGAGTCCACCCTCCACCTCGTTCTTCGGCTTCGTGGAGGTATGCAAATTTTCGTTAAGACCCTGACAGGAAAAACCATTACCTTGGAGGTGGAGAGCTCGGATACAATCGACAATGTCAAGGCCAAGATACAGGATAAGGAGGGCATCCCCCCGGATCAGCAGAGGCTCATCTTCGCTGGGAAGCAGCTTGAGGACGGCCGAACCCTTGCAGATTACAACATCCAAAAGGAGTCGACCCTTCACCTTGTGCTCAGGCTTCGTGGTGGTATGCAGATTTTCGTGAAGACTCTTACGGGGAAGACCATCACTCTTGAGGTGGAGAGCTCGGATACCATTGACAATGTTAAGGCCAAGATCCAGGACAAGGAAGGAATCCCCCCGGACCAGCAGAGGCTCATCTTCGCAGGAAAGCAGCTCGAGGATGGCCGCACTCTAGCAGACTACAACATCCAAAAGGAGTCCACCCTTCATCTTGTGCTCAGGCTTCGTGGTGGTATGCAGATTTTTGTGAAGACCCTTACAGGGAAGACGATCACTTTGGAGGTGGAGAGCTCGGATACCATCGACAATGTGAAGGCCAAGATCCAGGATAAGGAAGGGATCCCTCCGGACCAGCAGAGGCTCATCTTTGCAGGGAAGCAGCTCGAGGATGGGAGGACTCTTGCAGATTACAACATCCAGAAGGAGTCCACCCTTCACCTTGTCCTCCGCCTCCGTGGTGGTGCTCAAAACTAGATGATGATCAGTCAAGTTTCCGGCGGTGGTTTCGTTGTTTCAGCACAGTGCTTGTGAATAATGCGCTCCATCACCTTGCGTGTGTGGAGGCCTTCTAGTTTGGTTTTATGGACGTGCTCTAGTTGTGTGCTACTTATGAACTTGGTTGTGGTTGTTTGGAATTGACTGCGTGGTTCAAATATGTTTTCTTTATTTTAAGTTTGCGTGTGGCTATTGTTGGTATTGCTTGCTGCTGGTCACGTATGTGCGTATCGTTTTAATGCTGAGGTGCGTTTTGGCTCGCAAGTTTCCTGCTCCATTGATATTGCACGGGTTGTGACGATGCATGAGCAGAGAGTTTATGCCGTCTGAAGCTTAGCGGCCCGCCCGTCCCTTAAGCGTTGCTCAGTTGCTGATACGGTAAACATCCGGGGTGTTATCTTTATAAGTGAGAAATCCCATCGGCGAAGGCGACCTCGTAATCTATAGTCAGCTTGAATGATTTAACCCAAAAATAAACCATCAAATGTGTCATACTCGGGAGAGCGTAGTACGCTCGCACATGATTTTAAGCTAGTGTTGAAGACCAAATCCAATGACCTGCTCGACATCTACCTTTTAAACCCATCAACATTACGGAAAACTTCATGGCCTTCGCGTTTGCAGTGAACTACTATTCGCTGTATCTTTAAATAACGATTTAACAATATGTTCATCAACAGCTGAATTATCAAATTGGTACTTTTTTTTTGTACAAAAAAAGCTTCAAAACCTCACGTGATGCTATTAGTGCTATCTTATTTATGAGGAAAATATCAAAAGATTATTTGGCACATTGGTTTAAGGATAATAAATGTGCCCAAACCTGTGCAAGTAAAACTAGGGATAAAGAAGTGCAATGCACGTAGTTAGATACCATATTTAATTATTTTTGGTTTATTTTCTAACTAAAATTTTTTCCTCAGTTCCATTTTAATAGTTTATGCTTATTTTTGTTTTTAAACTTTAATATTGTGATTATTTATTTTCTTTGATGTTTGTTTAAATGGGCTATACCTAATTTAAAATTTCATGTTGATATTTGAATTGATAGAAAACAAATATAATCTGAAGCTAATTTGAATTTTTATATTATTTGGGCTGACATAAACCCAAGCTTTACTTGAGAAAAAACAGTGTTGCAAAAGTAACATAAATATTAAAATAGTGTTATACAAGGTGAATTTTTAAAACCAATAAGGCAAGATGATTGATTAAAAGTATACTAAAACGATAGAAAAGAGAATATAAAATTTGGTCTTAATCATTAATAGTCTTCATAAAAATTATAAACTAAATATTAATACTAAATCTAGTATATTTTTATATGATAAAAGCATCCACATAAGCATATAAAAGTACTAAAAAAGTTCATAAAACTCCCTTCTAAAGATTCCTAATTTCACTCAAAACAATTAAACTATTCTATAAAATATTCCAAAAATATTATCTTTTATTTCTTCAATTTTATTTTTTTATTAAGCTAAGATCAATCCTTCTTCACCTTTATCTTTTTTTTGGATAATTCTAGAATAGTATCTTCATCATCTACATCAATTGTGACATCAGGCTGGAGTTGTATTCTTTGCACTATTATCTTTTCTAGGCTCGTTATTTTTTTATCTTCTCGTTTACCTTCACAAAGAAGTTGAACATATTTCTAATGTTCAACACAAACTTCTTAAAATACAAACTTTAATTTTTTCCATATTTTAATGAGAATAAATTTTAATGTTATATATATAATTCTTTGTGTTCCTGATTTATTACTTAAATAAGGTTAAGAGCTATCACTTTTTCCTCTACAATGAATTCTTCTAATGTGCATCTAATAAGAATTTCTAATATATCAATAATGTCATATTTGTTTTATCCCTGCTATTTTTTCACAAAGATCTGAACTAAATACATGATTTTTTTTCATTACCAAATTGTCTTAGATTATAGTATTAATATTTAATATCTTTAGTATTCGAAAAATAGAGTATGAAATTTATGAATACTTACTAATATTTCTTGTATCTTCCATGAAAAATTCTTCTTTGACTGAGATGAAGTTGTTAAATTATTCTTTAATGGAACTCAGTCGGTGCTTTTTTTATTTATTTATGTCACTTTCTCATTTGCAATGAAAATATCTTGATTCTTTTGAATGATATCTCTGAACATTTTGATAGTTTCTCCATATATAATTTCTTGCATTATTATACCCTATAAATATTATTAACATTGGAGATTAATGTTTTAAAATTATAATCAATTGATGCTAAGCTGTTATAGTTTCTCCAAATTTTAATTTTTTAGAATTTTTGGGTTGTTTTTTATAATTTAAACTTTTCAGGGTGTTTCTATAATTTTTGGGACATTGAGGTGTTAATTAAAAATTTTAAATTCTTTGAAGGTTGCTGTTAATTTCTTGATTTCATGTTTGTTGTTTTAATTTTTGAAATGTCAGAAATTTTCAAGTGCATTATAGTAATCCCTTGAATTCATCTATGTTGTTTGCAAGTTTTAAAATTTTAGAATTTCAGGTGCTTGTTTGTAATTTAAACTTTTGATGGTGTTTCTATAATTTTGAGATATTAAAATGTTAACAATACATTTTAAAATCTTCGCAAACTGCTACTAATTTTTTAATTTCATGTTTTTTGTTTTAAGTTTTTAGAGGTCGAGATAGTTTTTGTAATTTTAATCTTTTTCAGGGTGTTTTGTGTAATGTTTAAACTTTTAGTTTTTTTTTAATATTTTTTTACTATAGTATGTTAGCTACATATAATTTCTTTATCTTAACAAAGTAATACTATAAATATGTTTTATATATTTTATTAATAATATTTTTCTAAATTGTTAAGCTGTAGATAGTTCATGTGGGATTAGGATAGGATATAATTATGAATAAGATAGATTAAAATATAAATAAAATATTTAAAATAATAAAGGATAATATTAACCATAGAAAGATTTTTTCAAACTCGTGCTTTAATATATCAATAATGTTGTATTTTCTTTATCCCTGATATTTTTCACAAATATCTGAACTAAATACATGCATTTTTCATTACCAATTTGTCTTTGATTATAGTATTAATATTTAATTTCTTTAGTATTTGAAAATAAAGTATGAAATTTATGAGTACTTACTAATTTTTCTTGTATCTTTCATGAAAAATTATTCTTTGATTGAGATAAAATTGTTAAATTATTCTTCAATGGAACTCAGTCGGTGTTTTTTGATTTATTTTTTTCACCATTTTCAATGGAAATAGTTTGATTCTTTTAAATGATATCTCTGAATATTCTGATAGTTTCTCCATATGTAATTCGTTGAATTATTATATTCTATAAATATTATTAAAATTGGAGATTAATGTTTCTAAATTATAATCAATATATGCTACGCTATTATAGTTTCTCCAAAATTTAACATTATAGGGTTGTTTTTATAATTTAAACTTTTGAGGATGTTTCTATAAATTTTGTGACATTGAGGGTATTAATTAAAAATTTTAAATTCTTCGAAGGCTGTTGTTAATTTCTTGATTTCATATTTGTTGTTTTAAGTTTTGAAATGTCAAAAAATTTTAAGTGCATTATAGTAATCCCTTGAATTCATCTATGTTGTTTGCAAGTTTTAAAATTTTAGAATTTCAGGTAAGTGCATTATAGTAATCCCTTGAATTCATCTATGTTGTTTGCAAGTTTTAAAATTTTAGAATTTCAGGTGCTTGTTTGTAATTTAAACTTTTGATTCATCTATGTTGTTTGCAAGTTTTAAAATTTTAGAATTTCAGGTGCTTGTTTGTAATTTAAACTTTTGAGGGTGTTTCTATAATTTTAAGATATTGAGATGTTAACCGTAAATTTTAAATTCTTCACAAACTACAGTTAATTTCTTAATTTCATGTTTGTTGTTTTAAGGTTTTAGACGTCGAGATAGTTTTTATAATTTTAAACCTTTTCAGGGTATTTTGTGTAGTTTTTAAACTTTTTAGGTTTTTTTACAATACTATATGTATTATAGTACGTTAGCTGCATATAATTTCTTTATTTTAATAAACTAATACTATCATTATGTTTTATATATTTTATTAATATTTTTTTAAATTGTTAAGCTATACATAGTTCTCGTATGATTAGGATATGATATAATTATGATTAAGATTGATTAAGATATAAATAAAATATTTAAAATAGTGAAGTGTAATATTGAACATAGAATGATTTTTCTGAACTCGTGTTTTTAAAGAGAGTATGATATGATATGATATGATATATATGTATATATATAAAAAGAAGGGATACCGATTCTTGGTTTATATTTTGGGAAAATTGCTTCAAGGCCCCAAAACCCAACTTCTATTGTGCCCCAGCCCCCCTTACTTTCCCTAATGTGCTGCAGCCCCTCATTTTTAAAAAAATTACGTCCAGGTCCCTCAATGGCCAAAAACCTGATTTTGCCCTCCCTTCACCTCCCTCATCCTCCTCCTCCTTTGTCGGTCCCCCTTTGCCCTTCCCACCTCCACCTACACCTCCATCCTCCTCCTCCTCCTCCGGTCCCCCTCTGCCCCCTCCGTCACCGGCGTCGTCATGAGGAACTTCGTGTGGCACATTAATAAGAGTTAACATGTTAGTTGCAAGAGTTAACATGTTAGCTGCAAGAGTTAACATGTTAACTACAAGAGTTAGCATCCGCTGGCATGAGAAAGAGGATGGTAAATTTGGGATTTAAGCCAACTGACATGTCTAATCATGACCTGGCATGTCTAATCAACTGCTGGCATGAGCTGGAATCATGATGGAGGGGCCTTGGGCACATTTTTTCAAAAAAAGGGGCTAAAGCACATTAAAAAAAAATAGGAGGGGTTAGGGCACATTGAAAGTTCAAATTTGGAGCCTAGAAGTAATTTATTGTTATATTTTTGAGTCTACTTATGCATTTCCCCTTTCGTCTACAAATTAATAGTCTTTGACAATTACTAATAGAACCGGTTTGGATTCGGGTCTGGGTGGAATGTCTCTATCCACACCCACTCCTCATCCAGCGAGTCAAAACTTCTTCTGTTCACTGGCGTAATCCCCGTCAAAAAAATAAATAAATAAATAAATAAAGAAAAAGAAGAAGAAGAAAAAAATCTTCGTTCCTCTGGTTGATTGTCGTCTCTCCTCCTTTCCCTTATCAT